ACTATCCTGACAAGCGTGGCCTGACACGTGGATTGACACTGTTCTGGCATCAAGTCTGGTGTGTGCCCTGGCACATCAACTACTACAAGGGCTGGGAAATGTTCTGGGCTGTGTTCTGACGTCCTTGTTGGCGTGTGTTCTGAATTGTCGTGCCGTGAAGTCTGGCGTGCTGTGACATATGGTCCGACTTCGGTCCTGACATGCGTTGCCATGTATTCTGACAGTTGTTCTGCCATTACAGTCTTTGTTGCACATATACTGGCAATCTATCCTGCTTTCATTCTGGCGTTCCATCTTGCATGTATTCTGGCATTCTATCTGGCATGCATTGTGGCATTCTATCTCCAATTATTCTGGCATTCTATCTGGCATATTCTCTGACAACCTTTGTGGCATATATTTTGGCATTCTCTCCGTATGACATCCTATCTTGCATGGCATTCTATCTGGCATATATACAGGCATTCTATCTTGCATATGTTTTGACATTCTATCTGGCATGTAATCTGGCATTCTATTTGGCATTCTATCTGGCATTCCTGTTGGTGGTTGAGGCCCCGCGGTGCCCACTGCAATCCAGCACTCGTGGTTGAGGTCCGGCGGTGCCCACTGCGATCAGGAGCTTGCAGTTGAGGTCCAGGAGCACGAGGAGGACGATAAAATCTAACAACCCTCACCTGGCAGGTGAGGGAAAAAAACTCGCACTACCGTGCTCTGATGGCAGCAGCGGACCAGAGAATTTCACGGACCGAAGTCACCTTTGGTAATCAAATCTGGTTCCAGACGTCGCGACGTGAACAGTTGCAAGGTCCGGAGCTCCAGAGTGGGGAGCAAAAGAATTCCAGAAAGCCACCATCAAAAGCTAGTTACAAAAAGTTACAAAGTGTCACAGCTTCAGGGGTTTCAAGCGAAAAGTGTTGATCAAACCCTATAGGCTTCAAACAGCAAACAAGTGCTGGTTCGAACCAAACAAAACACCCGACCCGCAAGACTTCCGCCGCCCATCCGCGTCTGGCGCCTCCATGGACCGAGCTCGCTCAAACCGTCGCGTCGTCGCCTGAGGCGACGGATCGGAGCGCCGCGACGTGATCGGAGCGCTTTGCATCCACGGTTTGGAGTTGACAGGATGTCATTTTTTGGTAAAACACAAAAAAAATCAAAAAAGACACATCACCAAAAGAGGGCATCGCTACGAACGGAGCAAGGACGCAACGAACGGGGCTCCTGGCATCGCTACTAGGGGCATCGGTAAACACATCACCAAAAGAGTATGCATGTCTAACAAAGTCCAAGATGATGCACCTTCAAGATTCATAGCTCTAAGGTGCTCAGGGTACTTCGCGCCCGCGCGAGCGCGCTCTCGCTTGTGTGCCACCGGGCCTGTATCGGGCAGAGACTACTCTCAGTACCAACCGCGGTTCAGCTGTTGAAGCCCAAATGGGGCATGGAACGGCGGAGTTGAAATGAAAGACCCCATCAAGAGAGAAGCCTATACAAAGGAGCTGATCCAATACGTTGGTCACATTGTGCATGACAGTTCGGGTGATTCTTGCTAGCTGCTACGGTAGGCGTGTCTTGGAAAGCTTTTCTGCAGAAGCAATGGCAGAATCAGTCAGTGAATTCTCCTCAAGGAGCCTCAAGAGTCACTTTTCACGCATGGCCCGCAGGAATTGGCTCGCAGCGACCTCTCAACACAGGCATGACGTTTGTCAATCTTTCGAATTCTCGGTCCACAGCATCTAGCCAAGCCGGTGGGATGTGATGGGTTTTCCCGAGCATTCCCAAGTTAACGAGCATTCTGGGAGACAGTCAGACCAATGGGATTGATGGGATGTTTATTTGGTCTGTCTCAAAGAGATGTGATGCCAACCACCCGACCTTTTTGACTGCACCTCCTCCTGCGCTCTGCATATTCACCAACCCTCCTCCTGCCCTCGAAAAGTTGTCACAAAATCACCTTCCTATCCAGTAGTCCTGTCTTTCTCATGATTCTCATGTCCTCATATGCCATCCAACTTCTCCATCTCATTCTCATGGATGTGGGGCTCGGCTGGATCTTACTGTGGCCGTTCTCCAAATGCTCCATCAGGGCCGCGGCCGGGCCCATCAAGGGCCTGCCCTCAGGATTGCGCGACAGGGTCGACTTCCGGTGGTCGGCCAGGAACCGAGTCACTCCTGCAACAAATGGTCTGGAAAAGGACTCAAATGTGCGGTCTGCGGTACTTGCGGGAGATTCATTTCAGGCCCGCTTCGACTGGGAAAAACAGACCCTTCCGCTGGTGTGCTTTGCCTTCCAGACCCTTCTCCGGGCCAAAGCTGACCCCACCAGACCATCTGAAAGTGCCACAGGCCGGAGGACTCACCGTTTCGACCTCCGGAGGGTTCCAAAAGAAAGGGCGTCTGGACGGGCGACGCCCGGAGCCTTCGAAAATTGGGCAGGTTTGAGTGGAAAAGCGTCCGGCCAGGCCGAATTGGGCCTGGAGCCGTCGAGGTCCGACATATTCTTTTTGGGGGGGGGTCCCAAGGCTCAACACATGCGCGGTACATGGTCAAATGCAGCCGCTGACATACTCCTCAATCATGACGTACTTTGCCAGAGGTATGTCTTGTGGAGGTGCACCTAAAGAAGCACCCTCTTCTGTGTGTGGGTGGGTGGAACGAAAACCCATCCAGCCAAATGAAAAGAATGCATCTTGATCCACCAAAATATGAGATCCAACCTCTCTGCTCTCAGAAGACCAGCAGAACCCGAGCGCAACGAAAACCGAACCGGACAGTGGGCTGAACCGGATCCAACGATCGGAGTAGCCTCCCTAGTTGCAGGGGCCCTCAGACTTGGACCATCCTTCTCTACCACTTGTTACTACTAGCTTCTTGTTACTACTAGTAAGGCACCTGTTACTACTAGCGTGGCACCTGTTTCTACTAGCTTCTTGTTACTACTAGTAAGGCACTTGTTACTACTAGCGTGGCACCTGTTACTAGTTGTTTCTGGTCCTTCCCACCCTAGCCAGAACTAATTCCAATCTCCCACCAAGAGCTGCTTCTGAAATGGATGGGAACGTCCGGAAGATTCCCGGTCGCTTTCCTCTCTTTGGCTCAGCTGCCCATGCTCCCATGCCAGCCCCAAGGCATGCTGTCAAGATCTGTAATACATGGCGCTTGACCGCTGGGGATTCTTCTTCAAATCCCCTGGACAACAAACAGAACCACCTGCGTAGAGGAGGATCAGGTGAGTCACTTGGTCAATCAAGCTTGTGTTTGAGCATGTTTGAGCTAGAAGTTCTACTTTGGGTTCTTTCTGTCTAGTATCGTGCACGCGGCCAGTGGCAGCGGACTTGTCTGCCATGCAGCCATTTTTTGATCCTTCAAAAATCATCACGATCAGAGAGGGTGATTCAAGCGCTTCGGCTCTTTTGGAAGCAGCTTGGAATGGTTTATTTCTTCATTTGCGGCTGCACCTTATGACTTAAAGATACCATCTGAAATAATCCCTTCCCCCGGACTCGCAGGGAAGGGATTCGATGAACTTGCAGTTCAACTGTCATATCAAGTCTGATTGATCATGCTCTGCTATGACAGTTTCATGATAATTCATCTTCATCTTCCTCATGTTGGGTCTTTTTCCCTTGGAAGACCTTGCTGACCCCGATTTCTCGGGCCTTTCCCGGGTGGGCACGGCCCAGGCGAGTCAGGCGGGCACCACGGGAGAACGCCGACACCTCAGGTAGCGCTTGACCAAGCGAGACGTGAAGCCTCAGACCTGAACAGGAGAGGAGGGACCTTAAGTTGAGCTCAAAAGCCATCTCTTTTCAGGTCAACCCGCGCTGGTTTGGGAGCCAAGCTTTCAGGTCAACACCCACAACAGGTGCATCTAGTGCAAAGCATCTAGTGGACCTGACGATGATTCCGACCTAGAGATCCGCTGAGAAGAAGTGAAAAGAAACCATCGAAGACCAACCTTTTTTCATGTTCCGCCCAAGGCTCGATTTCGGTGATTGAGCAACCCTCGATGATGCACCGTGGCTACCTGTCTGAGCCAAAAAACGCGTGGTGTCCTCGCCTGCGGCAGACACGTCGTGCGATGCATCGTGCCAAGTGGCACTGGACAGCTATTTCGCTTCATCAGCCATCGTCGTAGGCATCCCTCGCCAGGCGTCTCCGATGCTCGTGACAGCAGTTGCTCTTCGGTTTTGCCGTGCACGGAGGCTGCGCATGCTTCAAAAAAGGGCTCATCTGCAGAATCACGACGAAAGATTAGCCACTTCGAGTGCCATCTGAACTGCTTCAGGCAAACAAAATCCAGCCTCGTGGTACATGTGGCCATCTATTTCGCCTACAAGAAAAGGCACGGTACGGCACAGGCAATCTAAAGGATCCATACACAGCGGCAGCACCCCGTCAAGCCAAGCAAACAGTAAGTCAGTGGATGCCGGATGTTAAAGAAACACAACAGGGTAGCGCTATCGTCAACATGTGACTTTCTACCATATGATGAGTGGTATCTCCAGCGAACAGCGCCCCCCATAGAAATCATCTGTAGTTCACCCAACTAGGTCCACGGCTCATATATGGCCATGAGGTGTTGTTATGATTTTTTGCTTGCGCATACGTTGTAAATCTTCAGCCTGACTAGGTTTCTGATATTTTCGTCTAAGAGTCTCATTGATGCCTGGGGGGAATTGAAAATGAGCATTTCGCTTCAAAGAGAAGCATGCTTTTAGGACCCCCCACACTACTTAGCGTTTCAACCATTTCACTTGTTGCAACGCAAGTCTTCTGTGCAAGACACACCCCAGCCCATGCACCGCACACCTGTCACATTGCGCTCGATGCCACACATGCACACATCACGCTCACACTCTCCCTAGTGGCCCTGAAGGAAACCTCGAAAGTGCTCAAAATACTACACAAAAAAAGGCAAAGAATAACGCGCGACACACCACGGCTGTCTTCACACCATGGTCCAACCATGACATGCTTCAAAAGCTTACGGAGATGTTGCCACTTCCTTATGATCAATGAGACTCTCACAGTGAGCCGTTGGTCAAAATAAGGTTCTGATGCATGCCCCGCCTCATAACAATGCTTTCCAAAAAAGTTGGGCTGAAGCAGATTGTATAGGATTCATTTGGCCTTTGAATAGAAGTTGAATTTATCAGAAGTAAACTGCACACTCGACATTGGAAGCAGGTTGATTCCTGGTTATGTCTGCTTGATTCTTGTTGGAGTGACCTTAAATCCATTGAAGTTCTGCTAAATGTCTATTGGTCATTCTCAATGTATATAAGTGAGCCTTTTTTGGAATTGAGTTCTCTTGGTTCTGCATCCCTTCAATTCCTGTTTCAGAATCCAAAATCTCTCCACGAGCCTCGTGCAAACCTTGAGAACTTGTGATGTTCAATTCTACATACAAATGTGCTTTTGGTTCGGACATGTGCTGATCCTATGCAACTAAGGAGATACTTCTCCAGGTTTAGCATTGTAAATGAGGTCTGCTCTATTTCCGGAAGTTCCTGGATGCATTTTTGGTCCAACTTTGTATCCCTTACAATCTTAACCTGCTTTTTCTGCCTGACGCTATGGCCTAAGTTCCCTGCCTTCCCCAAATGAAAGCCTTACCCGGAAATCTCGCCTGGGCGCCCACCGCATGCCTCACGGATCGGGCCAAATCTCTTTCGACCGCCCCGTGTCATGTTTGACCCACCTTCCAAAGGCGGAAGAACCTCCGCAGTGAAGACTCTGTGGAGCAAACAAAAACCACGCTTTTTGGAGGTGGGAATCGGGAAGGTCCGCCTCGTTGGAGTCTGCTTCATCGCCTGGGTGGCTGAGCCGGGCATGAGATGGAGAGATCAAGCTTGGGAGTCTTGGAGTAGAACCAACAAGGTAGAAGCAAGCTTTTGGACGATCCAAGTCCATGCTATTTCTGGATAAGAATCAAAAAGAACTCTGACTAAGAAACCTTGGATGAGACAAACAAAGCAAACATGACAACCCCTTCGAATGGCTCAACCCGCGCTGTGATGGATATGGTTATTCCCAAAATCATCCAAACTCAAACTCAACATGCCATCCTTCCCACATTCGCATCCTTCAAATCAAACTGCGCCACCGAAGAACACATGAAGACCTCCTCCCTTCCACCGTCGTTGTTTTCGGCGGAAACGCCCCGGTCCCTCACCGGACGGTCGACCTCTGCAGATCCGTACCAGCCAGCCGTTGTTCTCCCCCTGGAGGACAACAAAGCGCATGACAATGGCCATTCGCCGTTGAAAGCGACCCAAAAGAACGTGCGCGACCGGAACTGACGTGTGCGGCACCCCCCCCAAAAGATTGGTATGCATTGGTATGCCCCGCAAAGCCCTGCAGTGAGTTATATTAGAGGCGGAATGCAAGAACCTTGGGTGTTCTGCCTGATAGTGAGGTAGTTTTTTGAGCCAAGCCCGTTCACTATTTATCAAGTCCAAAGTGTGGTTGGGGGGCCACCGGACCATATGTTTTCCTTTCATGCCCTGAGCACTGAGCAGCCTCTAAACCATCTGAACAGATTGGGCAGGACCAGTCGGGCTCCTGAAGCAGGATGACACCATCGCGAGAGGCTTTGCTTGCAAAAAAAACACAACGAAAGCACTCTTCGGTCTTTTCTGTTTTAAGAGCAGGATATACCACTTTGCAAGGTGGGCTCCTTTACATGCAATTAGTTCATAAGTGGCCCAATGCCCCCATGTTCTGCCATGACTCAAATTCAAAACTAGCATGTCTGTACGAGGCTCACACTTCAAAGACAGAAAAATGCAACTATAGGGGAACCCTAAAACGCACGAAAGTCGGCGCACGTTGCCTACAAACACCCTGTTTTCTCTTCCTCCATGTGTTTTTGAAGATGCTTGGAAATGGATCTCCGACCCCGCCACGGTCACTCTCTGCAACGGTCACGCCAACAGGGGACAGCAGGGGGACGGTAAGCAGAAAAACGTCTGATTTCTGATAGGTTTGATATGGTTTGATATGGTTTGATTGGCGATGATTCTCAATTCTCAGTCTTCTCAAATTCCTCGCACATCAGCTCTCCTCTGCCGCAACCACATCAGCCTAGGTCCAGCATCTTGAACCCTCGAGAAACCTATTCGTTGGAATGAAAGTCCTGAATGAGGTTGACTCAAAACCTCAATTATTAGCGGACGTGGCCATAAGAAAGAGCAGAACGGTTTGCTTGATGTTCATCTTTCTGGTGGACCTTCGGTTTGACCTGCATCCAACTGTCCTCTATCTCTGGAACACGCACACACCAAGCCATTCGCGCAAGCCAAACGCGGACGAACCAACGGTGCTGAACCGGGCGAAGGGTTCCAAGTGCACGGCGCTCACCAGTCGTCTGTCGTCGGCGAGCCACCAGGAGATTTTACCTCGGCCGTCGGCGAGCCACGGTTCGCCGTGCCGGTTCCGGCCGTCTCGCTAAGCCACAGAGACGAAGATGCTGGAGACAATGGAGATGCTGGGCCACAGTCCAGACTTATGGACATGTGTCCCAGACGTATGGTCGCTCTCAATGGGGGTTTTTGCAACAAAGATGCCACATTTGAGAGTCTCATCACTCTCCATCCAGAACATGTTGGGTCAAATGTCAGGTCCAGTTCTACTTGTAGAGATTAGCCAATCAGAAATATGCTGAGCAGTTTTTCTGGATTTCTCTGGGCATTCTCCCACATGAAAAAGAATGTTCAGAAAGTAGCCATGTCGGAATAACCCCGGTCGCCTGCCTCCAAGCAACTTTGGGCCCATCATGACCCTTTTCTTGGTGAAGAACAAATAGTTGTCCGGTGGTTCAATCTGCGGAAATCCCTTCGTTCAATTATGTAAGCCTTTAGATTGACAGAGCTAAGTTGCTTGATTGCATCAGCCATTCTCTCATATTTTCACCCTCCCGAGTTCTCACTTGCAAAGTCGCCGTCATCAAGACCCGAGTGCATCTCTTGGTCCTTCCAGTTGCATATCACCATCAGTTAGAGTCGCATTGCTGAAGATGCCAAATCTCGAAGGCCTTGTCTGCTACCACAGCTTTTTAGCACTTTCAACAACACCCTCTTTACTTTGAAGCTGTAGGGCTCTTCAGCCAACCCATGCAACAGAACCACCGTTCCTTACATGTGTGGGCGATCTTCAACAAACACTGCCGTGCCCTGCGGTGCCACGTCGAACTACCATAAAGTAAATTAACTAATAGCTTCTTGTTACTACTAGTAAGGCACCTGTTACTACTAGCGAGGCACTTGTTACTACTAGCGAGGATGCCTCACCACTCATTCTCCACAAGAAATGCCACTTCGCACGTCCGTTGCTCCTCGGCCTCAAAGCCTACCTCGAGGATCGCATAAACAGTGCGCGCCACAGAGGAGGACATCAAGTCTGCCTGAACGAGGCGACGGAGCGAGGCGGCGGAACGGGTTCATGAGCTCATCCTCAGAGTACCAAGCATGGCAGGTGCAACCCATGAGGAGTAGCATAGGTTTTGGTACTTGGAAACTAAGGTGGGTGGGGGACAAGACTAAAGTGACTCAAGGTAGCAAGACATAGTGAAAACATCCAATAAACAGGACCCTAAATGGATCTTGTCCACACATCATTCGCCTAGAACCGGAACCGACCTGGGATATTTGGGTCAACAGAACCGACCTGGACCCATAGCAACAGCTGAAGGGTGTTTCAATGTGTTTCATGGGGACACCAAAAGCAAAACGTTGTTGTGAAAATGGACCTCTGGACAAGCCAACCTGTGGGCTACTAGCGATGGCCTCCACCCTAGTAGCACTTTACCTCTGGACAAGCCAACTGGGCTTGGTTTCCATCCGTCTGCGGGGAGTAGACACTATTCTTGCCAATCATTGAATCTCACGGTTCACTCCTCAAATTGGTGCAAGATGATTTCCCCAGACTGCAGAAGGGACCGTGTGGGGATCGCTCACACAGGAACTTGACAGCCAAAAAAATGCCCATGCTTACCTTTTCCAAGCCGAGGCGTCGTTCTGAGCTACCCGGCAATGGCCGCTGGAAGCGGCAGCCTACAAGTAGTCATCAAATCCGCAAAGACACAAATAAGAGATGAACGGAGTCTCCGCTGCGGAGACCTCCGCTGCGAAGGCTTGCTGAGTGTGACCTTTGGTCCTCCTGAGATTAGAGATGACACCTACAACCTTGACGAGCTAACCCGAGCCCACCCCACTCATCTTCTGGACCATCAGAAGTTGGGGTGCCCCACCGCACCTGAAATGGTTACCTTTCGAGGCAAAGGAGACTATTGCGCATGCCATTGCACATCTCTCCTGGCAATAACCTCTGGACCAACACCAAAGACATTCAGAAACGCCTCCCAAACAGTGCCCTCCTGGCACAGTAGATATGCTCCGATGATATCAAAAAATCCCCTGACGTTGTGGCCTCGGCGTGTTAATCGCTTCGAATGAGTGCTCAGGGTGCAGCTCGCCACGCCTCCAGCGCCCGCTATGATGGGATGGGTGGATCCGCATGGGTTTGGACCCTCGGAGGATCCTTTTAGACCGACTAATCATGCTCATAGATGGTCTATCTCCAGCATGTCGGACAGTCCAAGTAGGGACGGGATTATTGTCAGAGGAAGTGCGATGTAGAACTGCAGGCTAACAATTGAGTCGGTTGAAGAGCATCTTACCCATCAGAGCATTTGGTGTCAAAAGAGCATGTAAAGTTTCTCGAACATGAGGATGTGACACTGCTGAATGCCTGAATGCTTCTGTTGGACAAGATTTTTTGCAAGGTGTTGCCAGGAAGGAAAAAAAGAGAGGTCTGACGGTCTGAATGTCTAAATGTATTTGAAAGACAAAATGTATTTTCAAAAGAAAACACTGAGACTCCCCACTGAGAATGGCAGTTCGCGCAAAGGTCATAGTCCCGACAGCTCAGGCATCGATACTGGCGTGTTTCGTTGATGCACGCTGGTCTCGAAGGTGGAGATTCTTGAGCACCCTGTCTCAAAGCGATAGATGGTGTTTTTTTTGAACATGTTTGATAAAAACTGGTCGGGGTGGGTCCCCTTCATTTGGGGACATGCCCAACAGTTCTGTGAAGAAGAGAGGCCAGAAAGGCCTCGTGATTGGATGATATGATATTCATCAGATAATTCGGGCTTGGCGTTTGCATGCTTGCCTGGTATGCGTTGTCTTCTCCCGCCAACCATTTGTTAGAATCAGTTCCATGTTGTTTCCTGATGCACTGCAGGAAACATGCTGACCCTTATTGAATTATTGACTCAAAAGAAACCAACGGAAACTCATATATAATCTATCATCATATATCTGTATGACTACAGTATGTGTGAAAACTGGTGGTGGGAAGACCTTGGACCAAAGAAAGACCCGAAACCCGGATTCGGGACGCCCCCCGGCCCACCCAGGCGCCCGGACCCGGGTCCCCTGGAAGTCGCGCTCGTGGCAGCCGTCGCAAATCACACCGAAGTGACGATGGCCTCGCCAAAGAAATCCGACAGCTGCTGTGTTCCTTTCCAAAAACGAAGATGGTGGCTCTACCAACGCTGGATGAAAGAATGAATACCTGGTAACCTTTACTGTAATAAGGCAGTCCACACACCTGTTTGATGGATGCTGGATGCTAGCAAGTCGGTGGCACGAAAGGGCACCCGAAACGGAAGGTCGACCATGGAGGTCCCTTCTCGTGCTGTGGTTCCATATACCCAATGGAAGCGCCCATTTGTGCAAGCCTTGCGAAAGACGAAAGCGTTGACCCGAAAATGTTAAGCTCATCCAAGTCTCCATAAAGCGTTGTTCTGTGTGCAAGGCCAGCACTTTCTTGGAAGCATCCAGTGTTTGGCCACAACAGGTCTTTGGGAATTACGGTGTTCTCGAGAAAGTTGCTGAAGAATTGCATAGATTCCCTCAAACTGACAGCTCTTCTCCTTGATACATGTCTCAGACATCCCTCGCACACGAGGGGGGGCACCCTCCCATGCGCAGACGGTTCCTGGGATCGGTCACAGGTCGGAACCCGCCCGCGGTCGTGCCTGGCGGTGCGCCAATAGGGCCTCGCACCCGACGGGCGTGTCTCCGGAGTTTGGGCGAATGGGAGCTTTCCTTCAGACATGGGACATGGGCGATGGGCGATGGGACCTTTCTTCATTCCAATCTTCAGAATGAAGGAGTTCGGGCGATGGGACATGTCCTTAAGACCTTCCGAACGGGGTTCACCCAGCCATTCCGAACGGGAATCACCAGCGGCGGCATCGGTCCAAAGGATGCCATGTCCCCTCCCTCCAACTCCCTCACTTGCCACGTGCGAGCAAGAACTCCAACAACGAAGCAAAGCCTGGTGAGCTGAAGAGGGTATTTGTTTGTCGTGAATCCTTTAACAAAAACATGCATGCCCATAATGTTTTATGACTATGAAAGTCCCTTAGATCTCTTGCTGCAGTAACATTGCTGAATTGTCTTGTCTGTTTCCTCATCGCTGATGAGTGAAAGGCTTGGATGTGTAATGGGGACCCAGATCCAAGTTTCGGGGCCCATCAGTCTCTTCCCTGCGCCCAAGTCTGCGATATTATATATCTGGAATGATCTTGAATGGAGAAACAATTGTTGCTACAGCAATAAGAATTTATCATGTTCATCCTTTTTTATCCTCCCTGGCTCTAAACAGAGGCATCTACTACCTCAAAATGTGACATCTGCCCTGAGAGGTCATGCTGCTCATCCCTCACTCTTCTCTCCCCCAACCCAACACTGCCCAGAACTGCCTTGCCGCCGGCGTGAGCGTGAACTCCGGGAATTGGCCATCAGAAGAGTCCTGGGCGTTCTGAAAAATGCAGGTCGAGAGCTGGCACAAGTCCAGCAAAATGAAAGGCTACTGACAACACGTTGATAGAAGATACAGGGCAACCTGCAGTTCTCCAGAAAGGTGGGATTCGTATAGATTTGTCCCATCAACGGCAGGCAGAGAAGAGCAAAAAGGTGTTCATCTTTCTTGCTTCCTGCAGAGGGTCCAGTTCTATCCACATCTGCGTCCCCTGTTCACATCAAAACCCCCTTTCGGTTAGGAGACGTTGGGAGGGCTCCTTTTGCAACAGACATCTTGGCAACTTGAAGAAACTGTCTGTATGTGGGTTATGTGGGAGAAGATTGAATGGTGTGCCCTCCACATGTCTTGTTCTCTGATTTCTCCACCCATTCGATCCATCTGTGCCTCTTTTTGGCTGGTGTTCAAGGGCTCTGCGAACCTGAGAACAGCCCACCGCTGGGAGCCCCCTGCGCCGGCGGCTGTGGCGTGTGGGGTCCCATCGGCCCCGCCGATGGGCCGTAGATGCTCATGAAGCTGGGTGGCGGCATAGGTATCGGCGGCATGGGCATTAGGCTCACCTCGAAGTGTATTTGTGGCCACTGCATGTGGTGCTGCACTACATGTGGCCTGCGCCCAAAAAGTGAAGTTGTCACTTATGTGATATGTGCGGCGGTGTGACATTTCAGAAGTTGGTCGTACCATCAGATTTCAGAAACTGGGGGGAGAGTATGGATCGACATGAAAACATGTGGTATGTGAGCTCTCGACTAGTGATGAGATCATAAATTCTCTGGGTACCTCATGTCATGAGACCTCCTAAACCAATTTGCACACCAGCAAGTCAATTCATAAGTCGGTATGAGGTTCAGGTAGCTAGTGGAACTATGTGGGGTGTAATTAGGATGGGATGGCTGATTGCCTTGATTGCTTGGACTGGGCACATGCCTCTTGCAAAGAGATGAGCAGGTCTACTGTGCTGCCCGGTCGAAGGAGAAGCACTTTTGGGGGGCCACAATGCGTGGGGAATCTGTATATAGTGGCAATCCCCAGAGTGCCCTTAAAACCAAGGTGGGCTCCTTTCCCCTCACATGTCCAACAGTTTCACGCTCCCCCAACGCATCCTCCCATCCCGTCTGCACATCCAGGTCACCATGGCAGGGCCGCTCATGCTCACTGGGACAGGAGACACAGGGGTCAGCGCCGGCCCAGGCACCATCGGCCCAAACGGCCCGTTGGGGCCAAAGTCGAGCGCCATCGACCCGGGCGCTGGTTGCGGCAGCGCAACGCCCCAAGCGCCACTCGGAGGTCCGCTCCAAGGTGCATCCCGAAGCTCTTGGCTCCCACGGGGAACCTCGGGTGCCTCTGGCCTTGGAGGTGGAGGGTGTTGGCATTCTCTGAATTCAATCTTGAAAACGGGTTGAGCTGGGGTTACTTGAAGCTCTGGAGCCCCATATGCTGAAAGAGTCCGAGAAAATGACCGTCTCCCATGCTCTCAGAAGAGTCCAACACCCCGAAATCCAGCCAATGTGAGCTTTCCGAACACCCTGCTCGATGAGCAACTCGGGTCGACCAACTCTGAGTTGCTCTCCCCAGACCCCAAACCATTTCCAAGTGCCGGACGCTGTGGACGTGGACACCGCCTTGGGCAGGGAGAAAACGATGGGCTGCGCTGAAACGAAGGCCGAAATCCATGTTCTGCGGTGGTCTGGTGAGGTTCTGCCATTACTCTTGGTATGAATGAACAGGGATTCTAAATCCGGAGCAAATGAGTCCGGAGTGTGGTCCACCATCATCACCATCTCACTCTCAACAGCAAGTGTGAGAGCCTAAAATTGATGTCTGAAACCTCCAACGGGACATCTTGCATTGCAGAACACATCTGCAGCGGTCGAAAATCACACCGCACATGCACTAACATCCTTCGTGGACAAATTGGAACGGGCTCCTTCAAGTATCTTGATAAGTTCTATCTATATGCTTATCACATCTTATCAAGATACACCAAGTCTAGCACTATGTACCACTCAGCAACCCCGATCAGAACTTCCACCAAAAAAACTCATTCCCCAACTCCTGCAAAGGGCCAACTGCTTCACCAATTGCTTCGATCTGACCAACTCCCTCACCAAGGCCCACACAGACCCTGGGAGCTCTTCTAGGCCTCCAGAAGTCGGCGTTTGTCACCAAACGAAGCCGATTTGGATGGGTCCCTTGTCATCCAGTCAAGCAGGTGAACTACATCACCCACTTTGGCCTACATCCAATGATATGTTCAATATTGTCCTTCTTGAAAGCCCACTGTTGGTGATTTGAGGTAAAGGTCTTCCACTTGAGTTCAAGCAATCCACACGGACACTTGGTCCTCATAGATGCACTAAGTGCTAGAATCCTGCATCGGCTGACAAATCAGGAAGCGATGTGCAAGGGATAAGGAATCATAAGGGATCATAAGGGTCTACATAGCCTGTATATCTGGTGATCTGGAGCGTAAAAAAAACAGGTGGAAGAGTGATGTGATATGGTCTGTAGACGGCGTTATTCTCCAAACAAAGCCGTCTTTTTGTTCCAATCGGTCTTGGGCCAGCACAGGAGCTGCCACACTGCGGGCACCTTGGGCGGTCAAGTTTGCCAGAGTGTTTGAATATGTCAAAAAATAGAAAATGTGCTGCTGGGAGCAAGGACGCTACTAGGGGCTCCTGGCCTTTCTACTAAAAACAAGAAGCTACTAGGGGCTCCTAGGAGCAAGGACGCTACTAGGGGCTCCTGGCCTTGTCCACTATGTGATCTTGTTCCCCTGTTGGTGACGTCTTCAAGGTACCGAATGAGCCGTATCATCTTGACAAGACATTGGCTCCTCCTAGAGATAGCCACATCAAAAGCCATTGTCAATTTTGGCCAGTTGATGTGCCAGCAGGCAACAGAAATTAGTCACCAATGGTTCAGTAGGGCTCAAAGGTCTGTGAACCATTCAAGAAATGCGGATGGGTCCGGTTAATCTGTGTGTATATATATATATATGCATATCATATCTATGGTCCAGATGTCTGATCCGGGCCCATTTCCCACCCTATCCCTTCTTTGCGCATCGATGTACATCGGCCAGGAACAAGACCTGGTGCGACAACAAACCGGGTCTATAGCTGGAACATCAAGTTTTGATGATCAAGTGGCATAGTTGGCAGTGGGCTGCCTTAGATGTTATAGCGAACTCCATAGTCCCACCTTCCCATGCCGTGGGGGCAGCCGCGCTAGGTCCTAGGTCCCTGGCGAGGCTTCAAAGTCTGGAAGAAGAACTGGCCACACCTGCTCGTTGACCGTTTTCTCGGGTGAAATTATCGGTCTTTTGAATGTGCGGGAAGAGTTTCTACCAAGAATGCATGGATGAATGATGATATCCGATGTCCCAATGGTCACTTGAATTGTTTTCAACACCCGTGGCGAATAGTCGTGCTTCCACTATGCGTGTGGAGGACCACCCAGCGATGGAGGAACAAGGAGAACACACATCGTCCTTGTCCGGCAGTTGGTCTTCGCCTTGATCTTCTCAACCCATCGGTGTTGGTCAAAAGGAAGTTCACCAGTTCAGACCGCTTCGTGTGGCCTCCTGGTTGCAACCGTAGCAGTGCGACCTGACCGGGGGGGGACGAGGCCAAAGACAGACCTGAGGTGACGGGGGCGTGAAAAGAGATGTTTCTCACGTGGTGCCTAAACCCAGCCAGTCTTTCGTCTTACTTCTTCATGAACTCTCCCATTCAAGTCTTTCATAAAGCAGAATCCGTTTCTTCAACACAAAAATATTGGGATGACCACGGTGCAAGATCTGTTATACCATCAGCCATCAACCCAGAAATTCTCATTGACCCGTGAGCAAATGCAATCCCTATAGTTTCTGAGTCTCTGAGCAAGTGTAAAATGCGACACATAGACACCACGCAGCTCCATGAAGTTCTGTGCAAACACACATAGGGCACCCTCCATTTGCTCGACGTAAAATGCAGCTGATCAATCCGGTATGCACAAAATACAAGCTCTTGCAAGCATCTCTAAATCAGAGCTTCTCCGACACACACACACCCACTACACCTGGCCCCATGAGGATCTTAGCCGTGGCCCGGACCGGCTGGGCATGGCTGCGGCAGCCGAGTGCGGCCGGTCTAGGACGACGGCCACATGAGAGACGGCGGCGGTGAGGCGTTGGAAACATGGAGATGTAGCGTGAAACCAAGGAAACGCCCCATGTTTGCCATGTGCATTTCGCGCCTGGGCTCCTAAGTTGAAACACCCCCATGTAACGTTGGAAGAACAAAAGCTGGCCGTTCCCCTGCAATGCTGGCCTGGACTTTCCCCAATTCCAATCGTTGGAGATGTTGATCCATGCGTTCAGCCAAAAGTTATATAACCTGCTTTTTTTGCTCTGGAGGTCCTGCCAACATGTGATTTCGGAGTCCCAAAGGTGTGACGTGTTTCCTCTGTTCACCAAAACGGCCCGAAACGGACAGATAGCCATCTTCAGCGAAGAAGGTGGAAAGCACAAACAGCTTGTCCTTATGATATGAGAGGGAGCCTTTTCTCGCTGTCCTCACCCATAGAGGTGATCCTGGTCGAAAAGGACGATTCAAATGACCTCCAGGTCCCTCGAAACCGGCGAGTCCTGGTATATATTCAAACCTTTGAAAAAGATCCGAAAGTGGATTGATGCTCTTGGAAATCTAAATCTGTACGAGGGTCTGGACGTAGACTTTAGCTTTGCGAATCTATCCCAGAGAGGTCCTGAGGCTGAATTGAAAAGGTGCACAAATATGTAAGACGCCCAAACTTGTACAGGCAAAACAAGGTGTCTAAAGACTTGGATGATGTGTCTGCCAAAACTAAAAAATCAACACCATTCCTAGACTGCCCCACTGATAGAATGGACATCTTCCAACAACTTTCCAGGAGAGGAGGTTCCATCCAGGACATCCATGGCTCCCAAGGAGGCCGTTGGTAGCAGACCAACCAGACTGAGCAGACCAATTAGTGAGTGGAAATCCTTTTTGGAACAAACAGGTTAAAACTGAGAATTCTCCCACTCCTCAGCAATGACAAGAACTGATTCTGAATACTTCACCATGACCCTGCGTGGCGGCTTCTGCTTCGCACTCCGCGTGTTTTCGTCACAGCCTCCGGAATCCACCACGTCACATTCGTGAAACCAGGTGAGACGACGCCAGATGACATCGGGTGTGGAGCGAGCAACTGAGAGAAAAGCACATCCTGAAGGTTCACCCCACCGACTGAGTGACTTGTGGCTGAAAGAGTGTATATACTGACTAGACAAACCGAGACCCTCGACACATCTGGACAGTTTTAAGCAACAAAACAGATGGAGTTCTCTGAAGATCAATCACCCTGGCCGCCAGCCACGTGAAGACTTTCGCTTTAGAAATCTGGGCATCACCTAGACGACCTGGTCTGATTGACCCACACCTTTAAGAGAGCTACTCAGAAAACATGATCCCGGCGCTCGGGTGAAACGAGTTCTCCTTGGCCCAGCTGTGTTGAAATCCCCTTGACAATCGGGTCTGACTGGGTCTGAATCGGTGTTACGACGCCGGAATCGATTAGTAGGCGTCCCTTCGAAAGCTCCTCCGCTCTTCAGAGGGCTTCTTTCGGGTCCATTTCGGTCAGAGGCTTGACGACCCTCTCCCATTCACTGTCGTTGCTGCTGCGCATGGCAAGGTCGGTGATCCTGGCATCGGATAGGTCCCTTGGAATGGGAACGCTTTCCGCTTTCCAATGCACTTTTGACCATACAACCTGGACCGACCAGCAAAGGCCACGGAACGAAGACAAAAGCACCACAACACCAGGTTTCTCCAAGAACAAAATGTTTGAAGGGACAATTCCTTGAAGAAAGCCAACATGCTGCACACCGACGGGGTACTACGTATTATCTCATCCGCATCTCACATCCTCCCCCCGACTGAACACCTGGCCGGTCGCACCTAGGTAGCCTGCCACTGCCCTCCTTGTTCGGCCTCAAGTATTCAAGCCCAGGCGAATGCAAAGGCTTAGGGATAAGAACTGGGTCTTCATACATCAGCACAATTCTTTTGGCAATGTTCCATAAATGCATGTCCCGTACTCAGTCCTCAAATACTACACAAGGGCTGCCTGGACATCAAATGGCAAGAATGTCTCATGCCGCGCCCTCAAGAAACTCTGCAACTTGACCCAACCTGTTGCATCATTGGAGGTCATAATGTGTATAGATTCAGACCGAGAAGTATCATTTCAGAAGGCAACCTCAACAGCACGGAGGGCTTGCTGCCGCCACCGCCATGTCTCCGTTCACCGCTCGTCTCGGCTCCCGGCATGCGGAGTTTCAGCACACGTCCCGCGGCAGAATTTTGAGAAAGTCGGAACTTCAAAGCCTGCCAAAGGGGAGGCAAACCATGTGTTTTCAAGCATAAGAAGACCGACTAGCAGCTCACTAGCATGATTGAACCAGCCATGAACCCAACTGGGAAACTTTCAAGTGGAGCTGCAAGCAGAAGTGGGCCGGCCCTCCTCTGTCTTTACCCTGCCATGAACCGCTCAAAAGAGCTTGCTCTTGCTGGATTCAGAAACTGTGCTTGCAGCTGGGTGTGGATTGGCCCTATCCACAACCCTGACCCTCATGATCTAACAATGAAAGACCACAGCTTGGGTGAATCAAACTCTCAGCTATTGCCTAAAGTCCAAAAGGTTTCTAGGTCATGCATGGTCCTTCCTCGAACATCCACCTCCCTATCTTCGTCTCGTCCCACTCCGCCTGACGGTCTACTTCCTCTTCGTCCCACGTCCGTGGGTCGATGGAGGGCTTGGTGTTCTGGAGTCGCTGGAGCAAGGCCTCACCGATCCCAAACGGCTGGCGCACGGCCGCACGGCCGGTGGTTGGGGCTCTTTCCCGCAAACCAACTCGATGTCCAAAAAACCGAAATGGACGTATAAAGTGAGTCACGCGTTAGTCATGTTTTTGCGCAAGTGAGGTAACTGTTGCATGTTCAAGTGAATTTTGGAACATCCTCCTTTCATATCCTTTCATAATTAGATCCGGATCGGGTGTCGACGTCGTGCGGGCAAGTGAATTTCGTTGGCACTCCTGGAGCTCAGTTGGACCAGTTCTTGCTAGTCACATTTGTCCACAAGCCAAGCACCTAGCTTTGTCTTGGTTCCTTGCGGCTCGGAGTGGTTCCTTCCTCTAAAATTGACCCCCAATTGGCCCACAAAAGGTATGCTCCATTAGAATGGCTCCTTCCTCCTCCAAAACATAAGGCCTGCTGATGTTGGAATGGTTCCTTCTTCCTCTAATCACCCTTGGTGGCCCAAATTTTGCCCTCGGAAACTTCGGGGTCACAGAAATGTCTTCACGTGTTTTCGGACTCGAAAGCCTGACTTCTAGGACGACCTAACTCCCTTGTTGCACAGCATCCTTGGAAAGTAGTGTGTGTGTGTGTCCACCCCTGGACAAAGGGTTTTCCGCCGCCACCTCCTTCACCGATTTTCCACGAACTTTCACATGCAGGGGCACACGGCATCCATGACCTACCGTGTGCAACGAAGCTGCGGTCATGGATGGGAAGGGAAGGCTGATCACCTTCCTGTACCTGCTTTCAACACACTGACTCCAATGGTCCACCCTGCCGCTGTTTGTTGGTTTCCATGGTTCTTCATGCCTCCAC